AAGGCAAGCACTACAGCCCCTCTATCAAGCTCAAAGACAATGCTCCTAGAGATAAAGAATTCTCTTTGCTGCTATATATTCTTCTAGAGATTCTCATACTGTACAAAATGTATTTGTCAAATTCTATTTCAGCATGCATCACTATGTGACCTATTTTTGCTCTTGCAGGTTTTTTTTGTATAGCTATAGTTATGCCCTTTGCAAGTCACCTGAACAGTAAAGCTGGCCATGGTCATGCCTTGAATTTCCTGCTGAATTGGTCAAAATTCAAGGTGGTTATGGCTCTAAAGGCATCAAGTGGTTTGAGAACAGTATTTCAAAATTGAAGGAAAATCATCAGCCAAACAGTAACTGCATACTTTTCGGATGCAGCCACTATTTGGGCATTCAAATAGGAGAAAGTGCATAGGGTGCATCTGCATCATAAAGACCTTCATGTACTGAGGATGACAGTCACTGTACAATACTGGCTGGAGAGAGCACTGAAGCAGCATTACTGAGAGTAGAAGCAGACTCTATACAAAAGAAGAGAAACGCAAGAAAGCACTTATATCTGCAATAATTTCCAGTTGTTTATTCAGAGAAAACAATTAAAAGCACAAGAAAATGTGCACGAATAGGCTCATCACCATTGCTCTGCAGGGCTCCCATCACTGTTTCTCTACTGGGAGCTTGGGTACCAATGTCAAGATGGCCATCACTGTTTTGGGAGTGCCATGGAATGCGCGCTGTGTGTGTGAACCGCACAGACCAGAAGTGTTGTCAGGAAAGGGCGGTGACGCGTTTCAGACAATGTGCCAATCACTCCTTCTTTAAGACCTAGTCCCAGGATTACTGCGTTATGTTAAATAGAGGGAGTGGGCAGGGAAGAGGCAGTAACTAGTTTATAGAATGGCCCCGTCCATGTTGAAAGACAAAGGGGACAAAGGGGAATGCTAGCATTACAGTGACAGTAACTGTAATGGAACCGACCCATACTGCGCTTGGGCACGTCCGGTAGAATACCGCTTCCCCATCCGAACACCGACAACAGGCACCACAGCCAACCATACAAGACTAGGCGACACCAGTCTTGAAGTAAACCAGGAGGTAGACTAGTTTATTTGAACACAGATACAAAATATATACACTCAGGGGGCAATCCCCCCTCCCTGCATAATGGGTGGGGCAATCTACATTTAGTAAGAGTAAGAGACACACAGGTATTCAAACTTCACATCAGCAGACAGTCCCATCAGGAGGGAGGGCTGCTGGAGACACCCCCCCCCCCCCCCCACAAAGCTAACACACAAACACATACATCCCTTAATAGTTTTCTCCCAAGTAGACACACAATAGAACAATGGGATGCAACCACATGACATTAATCAACAACCCCCACCCCAATATTAGGACAGATCACCCTGTACCCCTAACAGGCACAGGGTGATTTACAAATAAGAGGGATATGGGGAGCTGAGACAGGGGTCTCCCACCTCTCCAAAGTGAGCTGGGTTCCATGGGCCGCCCACCCAAAGTGTAACCATGTGTTCTCATAATACAAATACCATGATATAAATGAGTTGGTGCTATCAGCTGGAAAAAAACCTAGTGAACAGAACCTCAGTTTCACTGAATGACAAGCCTTATAATCACTTACTACTAACACAGTCATCAAAGCAGCGGGCAAAGGCGGGAGTATAGTAAAACTCAATAGGATAGATTGCATTGCTGAAGCAAAAAGGCTTTTATCAGATAATAATACTTGCACAAAGTTAAAACGTGATCCATTACCTGCATTTGTTATGGAGGCAACTACTTACTGAATGAGGCACATATAGACAAAACCATTTCTCAAACAAAAGCCTCCTTTATGTTAAAAGATTTCTATCATACGGTCTCCCAAAGATACACAAGAATGCCACCCATCCTCAAGGAAGACAGATAGTAGCAGCTATGAATAGCATCAACAGTGGCTTCTCACAATATCTTCATCTTTTCTTACAGCCACTGGCCCAGGACTTACAATCAGACATCAGAGATGGTATTCATCTATTACAACAGATAACCCCCTACCCATGTGAATTAACCTATACATGGGTCTCATTGGATGTGCAATCTTTGTACACCTCTAAACCTCATGATATTGGTATAAAAGGCACTATAATTTTTTCTCTCTGAAAATACTATTTTGTACTCCAGATAGGCTCAGTTTATCATAGATGCAACTCAATTTTGCCTAATGATGATTATTTTTTGTTTAATGATTAATACCATCTCCAGCTCCAGGGTACTGCCATGGGGGCAAACTTTGCCCCCGCATATGCTAATTTAACTATAAGACATTGCATCCAATATTTTAAACTATGGCAGGTATATTGACAATATCATATAGGAGGGGATTTGTTCAGTAGAGAAAATTGTCCCACAGTAATGATAAGAATATGGGATCATCCTTCACTTCAGTAACAGACAAGGGAAAAACTGGCTTTTTTCGATTTAGAGATGAAGGTCTCCAGATATATACCAAGAATTAAACAAAACATACAGCTGGAAATTCTTTCCTTCACTACAGAAGCTGTCACCACCCACATTGGTTACAAAATATTCCCAAGAGCGACTTTTGTAGCTTAAGACACAATTGTACTAAAGAAACTGACTATCAGTCAAAGTGAAATTCTCAAGGATACATTTCTTGAGAAAGGATACCCATCATCATTGATGATCAGGCTTTTTTCACACTACACAACTGGTCACAACACAGCTAACATTCCCACAACAGATGAAACAAAATCTCAGATTTACTACCCAATTTCATAACTGCCATAGACAAACGGAACATTTGGTACAAAAACAGAGGTCAATATTACTACAGGACCCCCACCTGAAACACTTTATACCAGATAAACCTGAATTTTTTGCTACAGAAAAGCCCACAATGTTAAAAGTAAAGCAGCACCAAGCAAACTTAAATCTAAACCACAGGGTTCCTCTTCCCTTAGGTTTTTTCCTATAACAGGCATGTATCAATGCTGTAAACCATTCTGTGATTTTATGTTTTTCCTTTGATAGTAAAATCTTTTTGACCATGTCTTATGAATATGCAGGTTAAACATGTTCGTCAGAATTTGTGGTTTATGGTCTGTCCTGTCCATGTGGTTTTATTATGTAGACAGGACCATCTGTACGTTATGGAAATGTTTTGGGGAACACTGTCAGAGGACAGAAAAAAGACAAAAAACTGCATCCTCAGACATTTCCTTGAACATCATGGTCAATCCACAGAGGGGCTGATTGTCTGGGTCATTGAAGATATGCTGGGTGATCTCCCTGTAGCAGAAAGATTTCAGCGTGTCTGCCATAGAGCAACATATTGGATTTTTGCCCTAGATGTATTATCCCCAGGAGGCTGAAGCAAAGAATGTGAGATCAGTACTATAATATAGAGTTATAAAAAATGGTTATATGACTGTTGTACTAATTATTTTGAAACCCCTATCTTTCAGGTTCCACATCTAATTTATTGATCTGCACATAATATATAAAAATGGGTGGTTGGCTTATTCTTCTTATATACTGTACATCAACAGTAAGTAGGTTACCCTCACACAGTCATTATAAGTTATAAAAAAAAATACTGTTCCTACACTTTGCTTACTTTTAAAGCAACTGTGGTTTTTCAATGAGCCCCATTTTCTCTGTGTCCTTCTGTAGTGTTCCTTGTTTAAACTGATGACCACCAATACTATTATTATATCAGATTTTTTTTTTTACATATTGGCCTTAATTATGATTTTGTAATTCTTGCTTCATTCTTTTGTATGCCAACATTCTACTTTACTGACATGTACAACTAGTGCTATGTCAAATATAATTATTAGTATATTAATACAGTATATGGATTTTCTCTTTCTATATAATCTTTTTACCTTACTGCATAATTTGCTCCATACCAATAGTTTATACTTCTTTTATATTACGTTTATATTCCAGTATTGGATATTTAATTCCTCTGCTAACAGCAAAAGCTCTTTTATATTGTGCTATTTGTATTATGAGAATGTATGGTTACTGTCACTATATTGCTAGCATTCCCCTGAGCCTGGGCCTAATATGGCTTTTAGGGGGAACCCCATGCTCTTTTTGTCTTCTTTTTTTTTTACTGTGGTGTCCCTCTTAACCTTCCTACCAGACCTAAAGGGTCTAGTAGGGATTGGGGGGGGGGGAACCTCACTTTTTTTTTTATAAAAATGCCATTTAAAAAAAAAAAATTCAGTCCTGCTAAAGCATGTAGCATAAATGTGCAACTTTGCAGGTAGTTTAAGGGGACTCCCCCAGGCAAGGTATTTAAAGGATTTTTTTTTTACTATAAGCAATGAAAAAATGACTGCCTCTTTAAAAACAGTACTTTTTGATTTTTTTTCATGTCCCTCGGGGCAGTACCCGAGTCCCGAAACCCCTTTTATGGCCAATAACTTGCATATAAGCCTTCAGAATGGGCACTGTTAAATTTACAAGTTCAAGTTCCATAGACTTGCAAGTGCTACTAAACCCACAACAGTAATATCAGTCTGTATATGCAGCAAAGTATGCTTGTTATACTCACTGTGGAACATAAGGGGTTAATCCTCTGCATTGTGTAAAAAGGATGCTTGATCCTGTCTTCTCTGATCCTCCCCTTCTTCCACATTCCCCATTTTCATATTCTGATAGAACACAGCCTCAGAGACACTCTGCACATGCTCAGTTGATGTGTGTACTGCTAGAGAATGTTTTTTTTTCTTTCTTGAGAGGGGATGCATGTGATCAGCACAGGGCCAATCAGCACTGTCCAGACAGAGGGTCAGGGGTTATGCATTCTCATAGGGCAGTCAGAGTAGAATGAAAATTTATCCTAAAAGCTTTAACCAGTGCTCAGTTGGACACTAATATAAGTCACAAGACTGCTCTAACTGCTGATGAGAAAAGGTATTTAGCAGTTTATATTTACTAAAATTGTTGCATTTCCATGTTCTGTGTACTGTGGGAGACCAGATATAGTGAATGCGCTGTCCTGGGTTTAGTAACACTTCAGGTAAAGGTTCGTGGTCCAACATTCATTAGGTTCAAATGTTCAACCACCAACCAAACAGGAGGGTGTTAAGCCCATCACTACATACAGTATAGATCACATTACTTCACACAGTACAGAACTAGTAATTCTTACTGTTCTGCCCCAAGTTACTGGCTGCATATGCCGCCCCCTCACTCCGTACCATGCTCTTCAATGACGTTATGAGCTGGAAATATAGGGGAAGCATTGGAAATCAATACTGCCTGGTGGTACTTGCTGTCAGCCTTCCTTGAAAACACTATTGTGTGGATATATATCTGCCACAACAGTGAATCACAGCAGAACTCCTGGGGACCTCTCATGGAACCTTAGCGTTCCACAGAACCCCAATTGAAAAATCCTAAATTTAGATCATGAAAATGAATACACTATATCAGTTTTATCTTCCATTTGTTCAAGTATATCACTTGTATCTGTGGGCACTTTTTTAATTGAGATTTAAAATTTTCCAGTTGTTAAAAGTCAGCACTTTCCATTGGATTTACTTACTTTTTCACATGACTGTATATCTTTTTTAACCAGGATAGAAAAAATACCTAAATAAATTAGCAGAAAAACTAAGGGAAGAATGAGTTAATTCATGCTGAATGGAGTTAACTAGAAGTTAACAAACTTTTTGGTTTTTTTACCAGTATTGTTACTTTAAATGAAGCAAATCTATTATTTAAACTGTAACTACAAAAACATTGTTGCTATTTTGGAATATTTTGAACTTCTATTTTGCCCAGCAGGGGTTGCTAAATTGCATAGAAAATCCCAGCTTTCATTTTGAATTGCTGACAAGCAGGTAGGAGAAGCGACATTGGGACAGAGGAACAGGGCATACTTTATGCAACCTATTTACTTTGCAGACATTTTTAAGGCATATGTAAACACACCTAAGATATACAAAGTGTTAGTCTTACAAAAACGTTGCCTGAATCATAATGTGGTAGACACTAGGTAACGTAACAAGTTAATGTACAAAATGTTACATTGTAAATTGTTGGCTAAGGGTTGTCTGGAACAATGTTAGTTCTGATGCCCCAAAAATGTCTTTTGTATCCAATCAGCAGACGGCAACAACATAAAATGCAACAATAAAACATGATAGTATCTACAAGAAAATAGTATTTGTTGTATCTTGTGTACAAAGTTTACCAAAACTATTCTGAACACAGAATAAAGCAATATGACTTCCACCATGCATTATCATTTTGAGTTGGATGGACAGCCTAGCATTAAACAAAACAAAGTATTAGAAGCTAGCTAAACAAAACAAAGTATTAGAAGCTAAATCATTAAGATGACATTCAGTGTGTGATTCGAAAATCACTGCACAGGAAAACAATTAGCATTCGGTGTGCGGACACATAAAGCACACAGTTTACAATGTACTCAAAGTAATGAAGGAAAAAATGCTGCCCCGATGGCTTTGTGGTACAGCATGTTTTCCAGTGGAAATAGAGAAAACATTGGAGAAAGCCTGCATATGCATCAGTAATAGGCAATCTTTCTCACAGAGTATGAGGTGCATTTTATTTATCAGCCTTTGTTCTAATTCCCTCTTCTTCTGCCTATTTATTTTCTCTAATGCCTTACATGATTCATTTTATTATTAACTCATGACACCATTAGCGTTTGTTGTCACCAGTGATGACAATCTGGCAGACATCAAGGAAGGGAAGGAAAGAGGTATCTGTAAGGCAAAATAAATAAGACCTCTTAATTAACACCTATCTTAATTAAATAAATTAAATTTTATGCAAGCGATGAGTCGCTTTCACAGTTTGATAATGACTGAACAAGCTTTGAAAGTTAGATAAATCATTTTGCCAACAACATAGGCAAGACCAAGTCCAAGTCATAGGGGGTACCAGTATTGGAGTACATTTCCAGGGCCACCTCTAAATTATTGAGACATGCATATTTCTTAGCATCTATTGCTTTTGTAGCACCCTCCTAGATAGGTGCTAGGATTAGTTAGATATAGTGCTAGCTCACTCTTTTCAGTGGAGCTGTGTGTATTTTTTGTCAGATAAATTTGTCTTGCCTTGCTGTAATCATTGTGGCTGCAGTTGATTATTTAGGTCTATTCAGTGTTCTCAGCTGTTGTCAGTCTGTTAACTCCCTCTGCTTTCCAGAAATCAGTAGAACCTTCTGGATTATAGGTGTGGGGCTATGCAGATGGCAGCCTGAATATTTATGGCCAACCCAGGCCAACCCCAGGGAGCTGGGCCCTGAATATTTTCTGAGCACACTGAGCTCTGGGTCTTATCCAGTAGGAGAGGAACACAGCCTGGGGGGGGGGGGGGGGGCTGTTTACAAGGCTATGCTGCCATGTGCATGCCATTTGGGAGGCCTCAGCTGAGTGACCTGAGGGCCTTGATGATGAAGCTGCTGAGAGGTGACTGAGGAGCTATCTGCTGAAGATCTAGTCTAGTATCACTGGAGGAACATCTTCCTCGGAAATTAGAAGGCGGCAACCTTTCGGGAGTACAGACTGCTGAGAGATCTTAGAAACTTTGGGCTACCCCACCACTCTAGTGCTAGAGAGTCAGCTATGTGTTTGCTAAAGGAGACATCTGCTGGTGTCCTGAATAGCTTAGTCTGCCTAGTTCTCAGTGAAGAGATTCTGCTTTTGTTTTATCTAAAGAAAGAAGCCTACGTGCTTCAATGGTCGTGTTGCTTTAAGGATGTGGTTTTACAGTTCTACTACAAGCCAAGTCCACCGTTTGCTATATGCAAGGACTTTTGCTTCAGCCTTACAAAAAAAAAAGTTCACTGTTCTCAATTTTTACATATCCCTATCCAAGTTCTTCAAAAATAAAAACAACATACCTAGACTGGTTATTGAAGAAATTAGTTTCTGTGTTCACGTGCCTGGATGCGGGGCTATCCATTGGGGGAAAACCTGGGCAAATTTCCAGTGGCTCCTCAGAGTAAGTACTACACTTCTATCTGTAATCTTTGGTTCACATTGTGGTGGCTATGAAGCAGAAGGAAAGCCTTCTCTAGTTACAACTACATGACAGCAGAATAGAATTTAATTTCCAGGTGCTTTCTAGTAGCACCACTACTCCCCAGATGGGAATGTAACTTTTGAGTCACATTCTACTTCAGTGAGCCCGACTATACATGATTCCTCTTTGGCTCTCTCTGAGGCAAGATCCAAGCCAAATCTCTTACCTTTCCATTTGTGTTTTTCTCTGTCAAGTAAAGGAATGACCATATATTTTAAAAGGGATGTTTAATTTCATCACTCTTACTCCCTACACATTAGAGTGGTATGAGTAGGATGCAATCCTGTACAGACAAACAACAGCTAACAGGTTGGTCACTCCTTTAGTTCACTATTAGCAATGACAGTGAATGCATGGAGTCCAGTTTGCATTTCTGGGTCCCGGGTTCAAACCTGGAACTCTCTGCATGAGACTTTTTTTTTGCCTAGTTATTCCACTATGCAAGTGGCTCTAGGCAGGATTAGAAATATTTGGCCTGGGAACAAACACAACCAACGTATCATTTTACAGTATGGACATAGTCATGTTTTTGCACTGCCATAGGAATTGGTGGTCATTGTAAAAAAAAGTGGGTGTGGTTTATTCATGCTATATATGCAAGAGAGTTAGAGAACTGGTGGTTTTGGAAAGAGTGAAAATAATGGTTTGCTATTGAGATGTATGGTATTGTATAAGCTGAACAGAAAGACTGCTGCTAATATATGATTAAGCCAATATGGATGAAACATGTTAAGCTGGATATACATAAACCATTTTTATTTTTAGTCAACCAGAGGATTTAAACTATAGAAAACTGACAGATCCTTGCATCAACTCAAGCGATGTTGATGTAGGATTGTCTTCTGCTGTTCTATTGTAGTCTGAGATCAGGAATGAGCGTTAATCAAATGCTGGCTTTCCAGAATGAGCAATCAATAGAAGACAGTTGCGTCTGTTGAACAGACAGCTGCCGAACTCACCACAATTTAGTACATACATATGTACTGAGCTTTAGAGTGGGCCAGTCCTAGGTGGGGTTGCAATGTGTTCTGTCCAAATAAATAAAATGTGTTCATGGAGCTGAGGTCACTGGAGTGTAACTGTTTGTTAAGCACTTAATTCTGTAATACATGGCTGTCAAAAAGGGATGAACAACTGTGTCTGTGTAGCCGCTGCATTCCCATTGGCATAAATGGGCTACTCCAGGGGCGGACTGACAACTCATGGGGCCCCCAGGCAATAGGAGATCATGGGGCCCCTGTGTCCTTGCTCAAACTCAAAAAAGCCTATGAAAAAGGTACCAGGGGCATCTCATGGGGCCCCCTACTGACCCTGGGCCCTCGGGCAGTGCCCAAGTTTCCAAATGGTCAGTCCGCCCCTGGGCTACTCGCATGCAGCACCTGCCAGTTCCAGCCACTTAAAGACATGGTCCAGTCACATACTTTGGTTTAAGGGCCTGTCTGAATTAGGCATAATGTTATTCAGAATCTACATTGCAAGTGCACCTTTCTTGGCTCTGTGCATCTAACATCTTGCCACCATATAGCAAACTAAGAATGCTTTAAAACACCACTATCATTGCTGTGTGCCTTTTCAGTTGGTTTATAAACCCTTCTAAGAAGAAGTGTTACCTCACATTTCCTTTAAGCTACATGAAACTAGGTAATATGAAGAGTGACAGAAAGGTGCTGATTAAATTTTAGCACATTTTAAAGTGCATCTAGATGTGTGGCAGGAGGATTCAGTCTGTACATTTATAGAAAGACGCATAATATTTCTTTTGGAGTTCAGAATGCTCCAATCTATCTTTGAAGTACTAACTTCAAACTTTTTTTTCTGACATCTATTTTTATCTTAATGTGGAACTCTAATAAAAACTTTTTGTCTCTTATTTTAGGATAAAGGAGGGTTACAACCAGTCAATTTAGGGGGACTTTCTATAACCTCTTCAAAAAGAGAAAATA